CATAAAACTATTCTTGATATTGTATTAAAAGTATACAAATATGGTTTATCGATTTCTTAGTACATATTTTGGAGACTCCATTAAGTACTTGTTCCTTATGCCTATCTCCTAACAATACCATTGACAGCTTATTTGAATAACTCCCTTATTAACTATATCAACCACAAGACATCTATTGCGGAACACAGTCCTCCTTCAATAACTACATGATACTAGTTGCCCCTCACTCAGGGGCTTCAAAGCTTAACATTAATACTAAGACTACTCGATTAACGAAATTGATAGTGGTTGTTTACATACCTAGTTGTATATGAATTAGTCTAATGAATGGGTATCGAATAGTTCTGTATAGGGACCCCGTACACTGCGTACACACGACGAACGGAAGGAAAAGGTTCATTCAGGTGTGTGATTGACCCCCGTCTGCTTATTGGCGACTGTAGCCAGTAATGGACTGCTATCATAGGATGCTTAGAAGTCAATCTGTTTACATTGGCAAGTAGGACTAGAATATTGTTTGTTTATTAAATAAAATGAGCAACTGCAACACTGTCTTCTTTTGCCTCATTGAGCAAGGGATTTCGGTTTTCATGCCTAGGTCGATCAAAGAAGGTTTGGGGCAATTTCGGTTTTCAAAAATTTGTCAGTACCTAATAGCATGGAGTTGGCAATTATGAAACTCTGCTCTGATAAGACGTGACGTTTAGTCTAATTTGTACTTTTCATCATTTCTTTTATTAGTCGCTGCTATGATTGCGATGTCTTTAGGTTGATAACCAGCTCGTGTTTCGCATTATGGTGTTGTTTTGGGGTCCTTATTTACAACAGTTGCTCGGAGGTAAATCCGAGGATGCAGTTTACGTCAATTGTAATTAAAATACAATTTATGTTCTTGACTGGCTTCTGCCCGTGACTTCGTACGCGCAATTCTATTTTCTCCCGTTCCTGTTGGATTCTCAGATTTTTTTCTGTCATAAAAACCCCCTGACAACAATCCTTATCCTTTTTTGTTGTAATAAATACAACAAAAAAAAATCAGCCAAATCGGTCTAGCCGTTCTCAAGTTATGGCGTGACAACAGGAAACGGGTTTCATTTTCATATATATAGATTGAATTAAGTAAGTGCACTTGAAGTTATCTTTTAGGGGTAGCTATAAAAAAATGTCACATAGGTCTTTACTATTTTAATTTAATAATTCATCTTTCGCAGTTCTAGTTTGTGGTATCACTAAGCTAATGATCTTGTTCGATGTGCAATCTTCATGAGAACTACATCTAGTACTTTATTAGAACCAATGGGAAGTATTAGCGACCAATGCTCCATAAGTTCAATGGGCCAAAGTCATGTAGCCACTCATTTTCACCACACTTTATCCTGTATCGTAATACAAGGGGTCCATCAAAGTTGACCTAATCTCTCCATTGAGGTTCAAGTGTGGGCTACATTGACCCTCTAAGATGGAGTTGTAAGAATGCGGTGGAAAGGAAAATTGTTACTAAGGTGTGATTGGCTAGTGTACGCATAGACAGGTAATATAGGAACGCACTATTGGGTTATGAAATGTTTTAGTGCGTGAATCTCAAATAAATGTTAATGTTAAAGAAAGAAAAAGAGCACATAATTGGTATAAATATTTTCAATGTCCTAATCGTAATAATTATGGAAAATGCAACTGTATTTGTGACATTCATCTCAAGTTGGTGAATTGGCTCCGATGAATATTTACGTGACAATATTTTGTACGATGTTCAAAATAAATCCAAAATTTTGAAACAAGATACAAAGCCACGGTCTAAAGCTAGTAATTTAATAATAGGGGAGCGAACAGCTACTAAATGCTTCACGTGAAGATACTTACTTGGTTATGACGTCACATGTTGTAAAAAGTAGTAGCGACGTGTCTCTGAGGTTGGTTCTTACTAAGCATCAACCTACTTAAAACAATTTCCCTAATAACCTAGTCGGGTAAAGACTTGCTACTTATATCTACTTTTTGAAATTGGTGAATAAAATTGATACACTAGGTTATTTAAAAAATATTTGTATATTAAGGTAGTATCTATATTAGAATGTCTAAGAATATTCTTTTTGTTTTATTCAATTAGGAACTTGCTTAATACTAATTTAATCGTATTGTTAGAGAAATGAGAATAACCAAGTTGGCCACTCATACTTTTAGTGTAGGTAATAATAGGAATCAAGTTTATTAAAAAGTATAGCTGCCTTTATATTCCAAACTTTTGATTCTTTTTATGTAAATTAGACGTTCAGACGTGGGCGGGTTTATCGGCATCAGTTTAATTTAATTGAGTTTTGAGGAAATTTTGTTTTGAATCTATAAAATTTTTATATAAAATATCGATAATATTTTAGAACGGGGGTTTAAAGCTCAAGTTGGTCGGGATTTTATGAAAGACGAGGTCGTTCAGGCAAAGCGTTCCCGATAACGTTCATAGGTAAGTGTGGCTCAAGTTATAGTGCGCGCCATAAACTAGGGTCGAAAGTTGTTGGCGTTGGGTCGATACGAAGGTTTACTCATCCACGGACGCACGGACCGGACACATCGCGTGCCACCTTTAATACAAAAATATCGATTTTTCCACAAAGCCGCGTCACCGCAATCAATATACCTTTCCGCCCCGTGCCTAATTACGACCGCCTACATCACTCAAACATCCGTAAAAAGCTCTGTAATCACTCTGTTTGTGTGCCCTGATGATATCCATCCCTGAAAAATAGCGCACACTGAATCATTGAAAGCGCACAGGAAAACGCTTTATTGTAAACGTTTTATTTAATTTTCCCTCCATTTACTTTTTATAATTTCTGCCGGGCATAAAAAATGATCCGCCGCCGCAGGAAGCGCGCATACACGCGAACCCAGCCATATCTGGACGCACACAGGGATAGGAACACCTGTCTCGGGAACGAAAGGTGTGCTCGAGCGTGTGCGAGCGAGACAACCGTATAGGTGCTGCGGGCGTAGGACAGAGAGGCGTTATGCGCGCGCAGCGTGTTGGCACGCCCGCCGCGCGTCCCGCTCGCTCGCAAGTCCGCCCGAGAACCGTCAGTCTATCGCGCGCAGAGGCAGCGCTTGTACGTGCCGCCCTTTGCTCTGACGCGACCGACGCAGTGTCCGTAATCGGTGTTCGGAAAATTGTGCATGTGCGTTTTCCGACGAATGCAGTGTGTGTGCTTGTGAGATGTGCTATTGTTTTCTAGGTAACGGAGACTCTTGGTTGGAATAGGCAGTCGGATGCAACGTATTCATTGATGCACTTTTTGGCGCGTTGTTAATTTTACTCTTAGAAATATTTCCCTCGAAGAGGACTGTCGGAAAAGCTGCCGGTTTATTATCAAAATATCAACAGTTACTCTGCAAGTGTACAGCACATAGTGGAACATGTTATCAAAGTTTTATTAAAAGCGAACAAGTCTTATTAGTCACGATATGAATTTATGATCCATTAATTGTTTGTGCCGCTTTAGATAAGCCTAACAAACTACATTTTAGCCAGTGTCCAGAGCCAGGCATTAGCAGAGACGCTGCAAGTTTTTACAAATTTAAGGGTTGGAATAATTTTACAATGAAATGAGAAGTTGGAATATTTTTTTTAACACGTTTTGGACAAGGTCCACATATTTATGGATGTTTAAAATTAACTATTATTATTGTATTGCTGAGAAAATGAGAGACACACGTAGTCATGTCATTCATGTGATACACAAAAGTCACAAAAGCGAGGCTCACAACAATAGCAACGTAGAAATTACTGCCAAGTATCGACGGCGGGAGCACTTTCTGAAACCACTACGCATTGTGCTGAATTCAAACAATGAGAAAATACACATATTGTAACAGTAACTTATCATACTTAACTCAGCTGATGATGCCGATTAATGAACGAAACTAATGATTGAAAATACGGTGTCAGCAAAAAAGTTTTTATAGTTTTCTGAAAAATATATAAAGAGCAAATGAATCAAACTTCTTTTGGAGAAGTTTAGATTGTTTCATAATCAGAATAGAGTATGATGACAAAAAACTATATCAAAGTCTATTAAACTGCTTCGTTATGAAGAGAAAGCGACTTGTGTAATGATTTATCGAATGGTCAGTTAGATCTAAATGCAATTGAATTGCGTGACGAACACTAGAAAATTCTAACAATTAAACTTGTACCTACTTGCTCTTGAAAGCGATTATTTGCTAGTGATTAATAGTTAAAAATTAGTTAAAAACAATTTTGTAGCTCCGACATCAATTTCCTCATAACGATAATAATCATTAAGGAAAATTTGCTAGTAATTTGATATTGATTAGTATGAATTTTGTGCCTCAGTTGAATCATACACGATTTGTTTACATTGCACATTAAAATTAGTTCGCAAAGATCAGTTACAATGACTAATTATCAAATAATATTTAAGATGTTACTGCTGCCGATGGCATTCTTTCGCAATATCAGTTTCAATAGCCGCAAACAATGGGTCTTGTTACAAAGATTTTGCATAACACGAGTTAGCGACCAGCGCAGAGTTTGTTAAAACTTTAACAAATTATTTGCATTCAAATACAGTGGCGTTTGTAGAATGAAGTTGATGTAAATGGATGACTTTTTTCACGGTTGATGGTCACACAAATGCAAGACAGGCGAGCGAACTCCCTCGCTACGGTCGAATACTCGTCAACGTCATTAGATAGACACGTACATCCATGAATAATGTTTTGGGAGACAGCGACAAAATCCACATAAACCGACGTCACATTCAATAGACTTCAAGATATTTTAACTGACCATCAAACAAATTCTCTGTACCTTCATCTTCAACCTATTGTACTAAAGAAATAATGATTTATATTACACCGTGGCGTATTACATCAGGGCTTCAACTAATTGATCTCAATGAATGAGAATGACCTCTAAAATAGCGGCGTGACCATTAGACTCCCTAGCATAAGAAACGAGAGGTTAATTGAGTTAATGGAAGCATTCTCTAGTATGGATTGAAGTCAAATTATATTAGGCGTTAAAACTCTGAGGGATAGAAGGAATAAAAAATTGTATAAAACGGTCAAGTTTTCTCATGGAAAGTTTCATAAAAATCCAATAAGAATAACTGATACTATGCGGTCTCGTGTACAACTAACAACTGCGTAATTGTGGAGCAGAGTGAAAGGTGCTGTTGAGCCTATTTTCTTTCGTTCGCACTCATAAATGTGTGAGAATATAAGCAGTTGATGTTACAAAGTGTTTTTATTTGGTTCCCATATCGGCATAGAAAAATATTCTCAAGTAATGTAATCGTAATCACATAATGTCTACGACGTTAGCTACATGCTGGTTGTTTGTGCGCAAGTTGCTTACTCGTATTTGGGAATTAAATACATTTCATAAGTGGTTTATTTTATAAAGATTTTTTAAGTTAGCTCCATTGTATATTTTTTTTAGTTCCCATCGTCATTCGGTTGTCTGAGGTAGTATTTATTGAGGCTGTCTTCGGTCAAGATCGTGCTTCTTGGATGTTAGATAATTCCTAGTTGTATCTCTGATTTAAACGGTTCCCAACGAGCTTAATGTTACCTTATTTCAATCCAGTATCATTTTACAGTCAGAGGTAATTTCAATTATAGTGTACCCATTGCGGTTGTTTTGTCCAATTCCTTTAGAGTTTAACTAACTAATCAGAGTTTCCTTTTTAGGTTCTCCTATTCAGATAATTTCCTAAGCTTGTTTCTCATTGGAACCTAAATGCATTAATCCTAAATGACTATTAGAGATCTAGACATTTTATTTTGAAGTTGTGCCCAGATTCTCTAATTAATTTCTTCTTTAGATAAATTTGGATTGATACTAAAACGCCACTCGCGCTTGAGATAGTTTTGTCACTACAAATGCAGCTACACTGCTTAATAGCAGTGTAGTAGAATTAGAATCTTAGTGCGATGGTGGCAGATTTACAGTTTTTTTAACTTTTGTTCATTAGTTTAATTTATAAATTCTCAATATTAATGGGGAAGTCTTCAATTTGGTCTTTGAGTAAAAACAGACATGGTAGACTAGCTAATTGCTAGTTAAAAATATGGGTTTATATTCATTTGCTACTAATATCTAGTTAATTTGTTACTTGTGAAAAAATACCTCGTGCGTGTTTAACATCATTTTGTACTTTTTGAAGGAGTTTTATGTACAGTGGGTTCTTACTATTTCCTTTTCTCCGACATGATACTGAGCAAGCGCTCTACAGTTTTTCTTACCGAATTATTTTTGTAGTATTATTTGGTTAATGTAATTACTGCGCCGGACTGTTCCGAATAGTATGACGTGCCAAAGCCTGCTATTGTGGTTGTTGCGTCATTGCGTGACATGACTGTGTTCTATAAGGGAGACTAACAGCCGCTAGTTAAATTAATTATAGCCGCACAAAATATAGATTGATGTGTTCCTGTCACACTTCCGTGACCTTGAGCAGGTACATTTAATGGCAGTAATTATTGTTAAGTCTATACCACCTTTATGGTACAATAGACAAGGTCTCGTAGATCAATCGTATGATCATTTGAAGTTACTTGGTGACTTTTCACAGAAACATTTTGTTTTAATAAAGTCAAGAACTTCAGTAGTAATGTTCAAAGTATTACCCCTTTTTTCTTTGCCTATACTTGCATATTTAAGTAGAATTTAAAAACTTCGAACAATGCAGATATTGTGTCATTGTCAAACAAAACGTAACGAATTCCTTTTGAGAAGGTAAACCCGTAAAATCCATGGTTGGAAAACAAAATCAAAGGTTGTATTTACACCTCAATACTTGTCAGTTGCGGAGACCTCAAAACCGTCACATATCGTTGCTTATACGTACCTACTCGTAGTCGTACCTATGTGGGTAGGTATAATAGCTTTGATAGGATTTTCGCTGACTAGCAATTTGTTTTGTGTGTTCCGGAAAACGATTGGATAGCATTGATTTGCAATAAAAAATATTGCGTTGTCACGAATTTCACGGTGTGGCCTCTTTCACAACGGCTGCAGTGCCCGCTTCGTAAGTACCTAATGACGAGCCAAAATGCTCCAAACAAAATGTTATATTTATGAGATTTTATTAGAAATATTGGGTACATCCACAGGTGGGTGATATTGATACGTTTTATGCGTGAAAATTGTGCAATCGGATGAAATTAACGGAATTAGACAGTTTGATGCAGATGTAGTTTTAATCAATTAAACACTATGCAACTAAATTTATTGTTAAATCACTAATGAAAATATATTTGCCTCTTGTGTCTGAAACAACTTTTTCCTGATTGTTATGGATTTTAGGGTCAGAATTAGACATGCAGTACAACTGTCACATATCTTCTGCTATCCTGGTATGAAATATTACAGCAATTAAATTGCTTGATCTACAGAAGCACAAGCAGAGGCGTGTGATTCAAAAATATTTGTGTAACAGCTGAAACAAGTACCTACAATATTAAGAGATTTTCTCCATAAATAAATTAGTGTTAAGATCTTAAGAATGATCGCTTAGTGAGTCTAACCATAAGATCACCTGTTTCACTCGGTTATAATTTAGCTACAAGTTACTCTTGTTAAAAAGCAGAGCTACACTGACATAAACTCCAATGATAGTGATGTAGTTATGGAATTGTTTAGTTTAGTCCATTGAAACACATAATATATGACGCTTCTTTAAAGCTATAAAATAAAGAACGAAGAAGCAACTGCTTGCTCGCAGAAATAAAACTGGAGCGTCGGTTACAGACATCACTTTGCACAAAATGTAAATATTTGCGGTAATAAAATCTATTTAGGTGATTAATCCAATGCAGCATGACGTGTTTTACAGAGCACTGAGCAACAACGTCTCAAACGAACTGAAAAATGCGTAGAAAAACCTTTTAAACGATTCAATTGATGGCCCACAGTGTTGAGTTAAAACAACCAAACACGATACTTAGCTATTTTAATTGTCAAAGTCAATAATTTGTTTTAATAAATTCTCTTCAGTTTATTATACAGCTGTACTTATGTACAATCCTATTGCTGCTTATTTGTTAGAAAATAAAATAATACATAAACATTTATGTCTATTTAATTAACTCGTCGAGTACCGATTTTGCAGACACAATTATAGAACAATAGGTTGCGGTCACCGGTGACCGCTTGGTGTTTGACAGTTTAAATAGGGAAACAAGATCAAGAGACTTGTTTTCTTAC